TTAGGCAGAGCCAAACACAACACTTCCTCTCCCACTCACGCACAAGCGCACGCACACACACACGGTCATCGGCACTGATTTGGTGTGACAGGGCTGTAATTTTAGCTGTGCTGACTCTCTGGGCTTCTCTCTCTCTCCCCCTTGTTCTCCCTCCTACCCCTTTGGCTTACGATCACAGAGTGGTGTACATAAACCGCTGCCTCCAGCGATGTCTGTTTGTTTGTGTGTGCGTGCGTGTGTGTTTGCCATTTTACCATGCAGTTTCTCCCAGGGTTAGGTCACAGAGTCAAACTAAGGATAAGACTCCTTCACTAATACATTCCAAAATCTCTTCACAACACACACCAACCTGAACATTGAACCAGTTTGCTGCGTGGACAACACATGCAAATCCCTCTTTACACCGCTGCACTCTGGGTATGTTCCCTTTCAACATTTTCACCATTTACTTTTGTTTTAATTGTTTTAATTGCGTGTTTGTTTTTGTGTTTGTATATGTATTTTTGTGTGTTTGTACTGTATGTATGGATGTCTTTGTTCATCTCACAGTTTTGCTGTTTATGTTGTTTTTATGTAAAACACTCTGACCTGCTTTTGTATGATATGGTGCAGTACAAATAAACTTAAATTGAACTGAATTGAGGTTTACCCAACTAGTCTCCCTACTGCAAAGAGAAACAGTGTATCTTCTAATGCAATATTCTTATGTGCCTGATAAGCTGCTATACCTCAAATATCTGTCCAAATATGCATATAATGGATTGTTAATAAGTCATATCACTTGTTTTGTCTTACACAGCAGCAAATACTGCTCATAATTGTGTTATAATATCATACAATTGATAATAACCTTATACAGTGCTGCTCAAGAACTGCAAATGTATAATCTCTTACACTGTAATCCAATAAATTATTTTAACAAAAAAAAGGTTGAAACAGATAACGTCCAAAATTAGTAACATAAAGTCAGTTTTGTAAGTTAAATTAAATTAATAATATTATTTATATTATTATATATATATTGTTTTCACAGTACAAATAAAAATGACAAAATTAAGTCAGTGTCACTTACAATTATTACAGCTTTTGATGTAATCAGTTTAAACTTTTGTTTTTAGTTAAATTAACTTTTCTGAATACAATTTAAAAATGCCATGTGTATGGAGGGTAAAGCAGAGAGCCAATAAGAGAGGCGGCGCATGGATAATGTCATTGTTATGTTAATACGCCACAGACAGCCTGTTTCATTAGAGGAGCATGTGGTGCCCTGAAAACCAATTTGTACTAACCAATTTGTTGTGATAGTAGTGAAACGCCCCCTTTAAACGTGAGAGAGATTACCATAGAACACATGTCAAGGGCATTGCAGGTATTTGCGATTAGATTTTGTGAAAAAGTGCAGAGGTGTTGTCTTCCATCTGAAGCCATGTTCCTCAAATGGGGTATATTTTTTTTTTATTTTTCAGAGGAAGGATTTGCCCTAAAGAAAAATATCTTAGAAAGGTTCATTATTGTTTTAATGTTCTCTTACTAATACACATGTAATCATGTGTAGCGAGTTCATACACTTTGTATGTGAATTTGGGCACTATAAATAGTATTATTTATATTTCAACCTTGAGATTGTAAGATTTGCCATCAGATGTTCTGGTCAAAGGCCAGTGGTCTATGTACACAGCAGTAGGTATGGTAGAGATTTAGTGGGTAAAAAGCCATTGCTTGGTCAGTGTACAAATGTGCAATGTAAGCGGCATATTCATTCATATTTGAGCTAAATGCTGCATGTCTGGAGTATAGTCGGGGTACAAAAGGACACGATGAAGCGGTAATAACAGTTTTTGAAAAACTGAATCTGAGGAACATCAGACTTTAATGATTAACTTAAAATTAGCTGTGCATGTGCTCTTTCATGAGCAGAGAGCAGGAAAGAGAAAGAGAAGCAACAAGTAACAATACTGATGTTTCTCATTAAAATCCTGACACCTCAGGCCTTATAGATTTGTGTCTACGTGTGTGTTGTGTGTCTATGTGTGTGTCTGTGTGTATATATACATGTTTGTGTACATTTGCAGTCCCTGTTAAGGCCACCCCGTCATCTGTGTGTCACTAAATAATGACTCTGTCTGAGCTGCGTGCCCTCTGGGCTCTCCTGTCTGCCCACAAATACGTGCAAACACACACACGCACACACCCAACTCTGACTGGCTATGGCTGGCTGATTCTTAAATGTCAGATGACTTCACTCCTGGAACAATATTTATTGTGCCCAGTTTCTTTTTCTTTCTCTCTTTTTCAGCTGATAAAAAAATCAACATCCATCAGTTAAAACAAGTAATCAAGCACACAGCAGTCTGCAGCTGTATATATTGTATTCTATTTTACTTATTACAAACATGCATACTTATTTTATTTTCCGGCAGCGCCCTTAATTACACATTCACAGCTGGGTCATGACAGTGAACTTCGTTACCTAAAGGGTTATTCAGTAGCCAGCATCTTCCTCATTCACCTGCACCCACAGTCTCCCAGCTGCTGCGAGATAACATTATGGTCACTAGATTGCTTTCTTTATAGAGCCTCTCAGCTCCTGCTGTACCTCATGCTTTGCAGAGCCAGATCATAACTGCTGATAAATTTCATATTAAAGCTGCAGTGGGACACTTCACATCTTGGTGCAGTCATCACACTCGCTGATGATTTATACAAAATGAGAACGAAGGGACAAGAAAGACAAAAGATCTCATGACCACAAATGTATTATCTGGACGCCGCTAGAAAATGATAGAGTGGATCTTTGAGTCGTGGTTTCAAATCAATTTTAAATTATCTCTAAATAAGATAACATGATAATACTGCAAGAGGTTGATGGAGGCTGACTTAGGTGTGTCATGTGTAATTTCAGCAAACACGGGCACACACAGAAGAAACAGTAAAGAGCTGAGGAGAATTCAACAAAAGTCCTTGAATGTAACAAAATAGTATATTTATTTAGAATCTCTCATTTCAGAGTTCTAGCTATGTTGTGAAATGCTAGAAATGACCTTTCATTTTAGGGAGGTTTTCTTTGTGTCTTTTACTGAACTGTTTTCTTCCAACACACACACACACACATGCACACACACTTACATACACAGAGAGGCATTAATAATAATAATCATTCTTGTTCTGCTTGCGGGTAAACTTATTTCCATCTAAAACAGGATGGATGAAAGGAAGGGAGGAAATATGGATAAAGTGAAAGAAAGACAGATGAAGAGAGAGAGAGGTAGATGAAGCAGTGAGTAAAAGAGAGAGAGAGCAGTTGATATTAGTTCTGGTGTGCATAGTTTTCCACCTCCTTTCAGGAGCAAATTGAACTTAATTAAATGAAGCTGAATGAGACAAAGCAAAGCAATATAAAGGCCAATCATGGGCAGGATCACATGAACTAAAGTGGACAACGAAAATAGCCAGAGAGATATAGAACCAAGAGATAACTAAGCAGCAAAATAAAAACTGTATTTTCATTACATTTGACTGAATAGACCCTAACACAGAAGACCAAACTATTTTTGACCAAATCTAAACTGCTGCTGTGAATAAAAAACAGCAGATTGCTTCACTGGTTGTAGATGTATAAATATTCCAACTGTCTATCCGTCTGTAACTCGTGTTTATGCCCCACACGAAGGAAGGAAGGTTTACTCAGCAGCATAGCTTGTGAAAGTATCAGCCTCAGCTAGTTGACAGACAGGCCGCATACAGCCGTGTGGATCCTGCAGCATGCGGATGCCTGAAAGCAAGTGTTTCCACAGAAGCTATAAAGTATTGATTTTGTTTCCTTGTAAAATTGTAATATTTATTTACACATACCTGTTACTGCTGTTGGAAAACCAATCATGTAGAAGTGAAAGTAACAAACCCACGCTAGTAGTTTAAAATCCTGATTTTAATAATCCGATTCTAATTGAGACAAATAAAATAGAAAAACTATAAACTAGACTATAAAAGACTGTAGGCGTCAGTAGAAACTAGAAAAGCAACATCAATGTCTTAGTGGCCCAGTATATATATAATGAAATAAAACACATTTCCTTATAAAACAATAGTGATTTATCCTATATCCAATTAAAGAAAGGTTTTACATTTGTTTTCATAATCATCTTGTGTGTGGGACATCTTTTGTGAGAAAAGTTTAGCATTTTGCAGTTTTATGGACTACATTGACACTGCAGGTGTTAGAAGAGAAGCCTCAGACATCATCAAGTGGAAATCAAACTTAAAATGCGGCGGAGAAACACCACAGCCATGAACTCTGAACAACATCATCGTCCAGATCAGCTCACTAAGACATTAGTACTTTGAACTTTAAACTTCCGTTTGTGTGTGTGTGAGAGAGAGA